TGGACTGTGGGAGGAAGCCGGAGAACCCGGAGAGAACCCACGCTGCACGGGGAGAACATGGAGACTCCAGAAAGATCCTGGGTGTGCTCACCAGGACACGAACCGGCGACCCTCTTGCTGCGAGGCGACGATGCTAACCACCGATCCACCTTGCAGCCCCATGAAGACTATATGTATATATATCAATAACCCTACAAAGTTTAAGGACTGTAGCTGCATTAGTTCTCAAGTTAAGGCACTGCACCCCGCTAAAAGAAAAAAAACAACTCAAAAACTAACGTTAGCTGTGAGCCCAGAGTTTACACATTTTACTAAATAGCATACATATGCACAGAAAAACAAAATCTGGCAAATATGGGACGGTCACGCGTGAGCTTTGTCGAGCTCGAATCACCCACAAGTGGAATTAAATCTGTTAACAGTCAAAATATCACCTGAGAAAACGAGGGCTTTGCTTAACATTATTAATAAGTTACGAACAAAACAAAACAAACAAAAAAACCCTTTTCTTTAAATAATTTGTCATTTTTGGGGAACTTGCTGAATCTTTCTTTAGCGAGAGTTACATAAGAAGATTGATAGAAGCCTCATATTAAAGACCCACATATCTATTCATTCTTTACCCTGTCACATGTCCATATGGTGTTTTTTTTCAATATATACTGGAAGATGTCTCATAAATCAGCAGTCAATGCCAAAACTTAGCATTTCCACTTTGATGACAGTCTTAAAAACACAAATTTAGACTTTCTGTGGTTTCATACGTATCAAATCTAAAAGCAATCTTATAAGGGACGTTCTGCATCATTAAGCTTCCTCAGAATCAGTTTCCAGTTTAACATGTGTGACTGAGGTACTCCAGTATGACGGTTTTCCACCGTGTAGCTTTACAGTGTTATAGCAGGTGAGCTGGTGTGCTCGAGCGAAGCCATTTTAAGGCAAGAAGGGAATAATTTAATAAAAAACTCCATTAAATGTGTGGCTTTCATACACAGAAAGGGTACAGTTTTGTAAAATAGCCCCCCTTGTAGCAGATTACACTAATAAGATATAAGAGTCAGTCAGCTGTGAATGTATCAGCCGGCAGGTTTGTTGTTTGTTTTTTACATTTGGACAGCGTTAAGGTCGCTGTCACACCTGATTTCCAGTGTTTATGATAAGCTGAGCTAACTATCTGCTAGGTGTTGATACTGGATCAACAGAAATGACAGCGGCATCAGTCTTCCCATCCAAATAAGTTCCCAAACTATTCCTTTAAAAGGCTTAAAAGGGGGCTTTGTTTTCTTCCCACTGTCACTAAGGACTTCCTCAAAGGGAATAATTGGGTTTGTGTCTGTAACATGATCCTGTAAAGTCTTGACCTTACTATGCGAAGCGCCCCGAGATGACTTGTGCTGTGAATCGGCGCTGTGTAAACAAAACTGAATTGAAATAAATGAATTGACTTAACCATAACAACAAAAAACACCCACTCTATTTCCACTAACAATAACCTCATTATAATACACAGAGCTCGCACGGCTCCGTTCTACTGTCTGCCCGAGCTCCCTGATAGTAATTCACCGTGTGTTCTGTGAATCATCCGCAGCAACTTGGAAACTGTTTTGGAAATAAATGTTTTGTGGTGTTTTTTTTGAGCACCTCTCAAGACCCGGACGAGTGAAAACAAAAGCGTGGCGTGCCGCGGTGAAGGATGAAGGACGCCGAGCTGTGTTTTTCCTCCTACCTGGTCTGACTGATGAATTTCTGTTTAATCACATCTGAGGCGCGGACTGTAAAATTGAATTCTAGCGGGGCGATGTTGATCTCGCGTAGCAGGGGAGCAATCATCGCAGCTCATTAGAACTCCGGGAATGCACAATCAGCGTTTGTAATGGAGACGTGAGCATCACTCAACCGCGCACAAACACACACACACACACACAGTTGTACGTCTGTCTTTGTGAGGAGCTTCATTGATGTACTCCTGCAGCCTCTTACAACCAAACCTCAGCCTGGGCCTTAAAATCAAACCCTGAAACAGACACTTTTAAGGTGCATACAGGTGTGAAAACTGACCAATTTGTCCTCAAACATCTGCACTAATTTGCACAAAAGTAGATAAACAAGTACACAAGAATTACACACAGGATTCTACTAGATGTTATGAATTTTGCGTGTCCTACCAGGATGAGCAGGCAGTGCGAGGAGAACTCCTGGTGAGCCGGGATGGTGGAGAACACAGAGAGAACCAGACATCCAAACACCAGGATGAACCTGCGGAGACAAACCACACACACATATCATATAATGTGCAGCATTTAATCACTAAATAACAGGCTTCAGGTGGGCTTCACACACCTGCAGCGACACACAGAATACCTGGAAGTGATGCCAGGCTGCATTAAGCTGGATTTACACTGTTAGGAGCATTATTAGGATCAGGCTGTGGTACGATTCGGCTGATTCGCACAATGTGTGGCAACAAATCCTCATCGCAGTGGAAGTAACACGAGCAGTAAGAGCAGCTGACAGTAAATATATATTCTGTTGTTGGGAGAAAAGCTTTTAAAGTGGTAATTTGCAAATGTCTCTCTCACTCTGCCATTCACTTCCTTAGATTTCTATTGTTTTGCTGAAATGACTTCTGAAGTTTGCCTCTACTTTTATTGCCTCCTCTGTCGTGTTGTCTGACGTGACGGCTATTGTTGTTCATGCTAACAGTTTCAACAAAAGTACACCTGCCTCATTAAAACCACTGAGTGATGCTCATCATGCTACAATATTCATGTGGATGAAGGTTTGACCACCTCAACATTAGCTTCAGCGGTAGAACAGGTTGTCCACGACTCGATTTTCTTTTTCACGAGCTGAAGTGTCTTTGAGCGAGACACCAAACCCCAACCAGCATCCCATAGTGAGGGGCAACCTTACATGGTAGCTCTGTCAATAATGGTGTGAGTGTATTTAAGCAGCAGAAGTGGCTGCATTTTCAGGACTGAAGTCATAGAAACCTTTAGTTTATTAACTCTTTGTTTTTAGTCCTGGCTTTACTAACCCACACAGGCAAAAAAATGCAACTATGTACAGTTTTAGAGGGGAATAAACCTGTAAAGCTAGAAATACTTGGATGCAAAGTATGATTTTGGGTGGAAATTAATCATTGAAACCCTAACTTGTTTGTTAGAAAGTACAATTTGGGTGGATTAAAGTGTTAATATTCCAAGTTCTTGGACAGAAAAAGGTGTTTTGAGTGGAACAAACCTATAAAACTAGAAGTACTTGGACAAAAAGGGGCATTTTGAGAGTAATAAACCTATAAAACGAGAAGTACTTGGTAAGAAAACACTATTTTGGATGGAATTAACCTTTAAAACCATAACTTGTTTGTTAGAAAGTACAATTCAGGAGGATTAAACCTTTAATATTGTACGTTCTTGGACAGAAAAGGGTGTTTTGAGTGGAATACACCTTTGAAAACAGAAGTACTTGTGCAGAAAATACTATTTTGAATGGAATTATCTTTAAAATCACAACTTGTTGGTTAGAAAGTACAATTCAGATGGATTAAAGCTTTAATACTATAAGTTCCTGGACAGAAAAGGGTGTTTTGGGTGGAATAAACCTTTAAAACTAGAAATACTTCGACACAAAGAGGCATTTTGAGTGTAATAAACGTCTAAAACTAGAAGCACTTGGACAGAAAGTACTATTCTGGGTGGACTAAACCTTCAAAACCATAACTTGCTCCTTAGAATGTCCGATTTCCGTAGATGAAACATTCAATACTACAGGTACTTGGACAGGAAACAGTGTTCTGGGTAAAATAAACCTTGTAAGTACCTGTTTTAGTAGGAAGCAGTATTTTGGGTGCAACAAACCTTAAAACCACAAACCATTAACTTAGCGATTATTCAGTTTGCAGGCTGTGCTGTTGGGACAAACACAGGTCCAAGAAGTGTGGTCCTACAACTGCAGGTGAACGGAAACACTTTGGAAAGCAGCTTCAGCCCCACAAACAAAATCCCATTTAGCTCCACTGTATGACTGTGTCAGAGCTCATAGCTTAAAACTAAATAACGTCCAATGAAAACTTTTATTATTACACACCAGTGATAGATAGATAAATAGATAGATAAAACTTTATTGATCCCGTTGGTAGAACCTCAGGGAAATTGTTGAAGATAAATTAGAAATGATGGATGCTGTAATTTAGTGTCCAACTATCTGCATGCATTTTGCTGATTTTAGCAGCGATAAAATATTTGCCGTCGTGAGATTTAAAGCCTCTGAAATTGACAGTAATGCTGATGTTTGTATCGAGATCAAAGTGAAAGTGTGGAGCCGCAGTAACGCTCCTGCACTCAGAATAAATCTCCATAAAGCATTGTTCCCTAATTACGACGCAAATTGCATCAGTCTCGGTTTCGTACAATCAGAGCTCTCCTCATTGTCTGACTGCTGCCAGCGAGGGAACCACTCAGCTCCTCGTAAGTCATATGGTAACTCGGTTAATGAGCAAATACAAATTAAAATTCATACGCCAGCTTCAGGGCAACATATGCACTGGCTAGCAGTCCCAGCCTGCCGTTCTTCTGAGTATTTCTAAACAGTTTTTTTTTTTAAGATGCCATCTGTCCTTCTGATATTTATGGTCTCATCGCTACAGATCTCTGAGTGCTTGTTTTTCTGCGGACAGAATGTGCTCCAGTCTCGCTCTTCTCTCCCTTTTTCAGAACACTTATTAGTCTATTTAGTCTTTTGCGTTCTTCATTTACACCCTCAGCTCTGTTCTTCATCCCTCTGCCTCTGCTGCAGCTCGTCTTCATGTCTGATCAGGACCATCTGAAGCATCAAGACGAAACTGACACAAAGAAGCTCGAACACACAACGGACAAAGACGGAAAATGGGACACAAAACGGTACCAGTGAGACAAATTGCACTAACGAGGAACAAAATGATGCAAATGAGACACAAAATGCTGCTAGTTCGATACAACTGCAGAAAAACGAGACACAAAACGACTGTCACGAAGAGAAACAACATAAATGAGACACAAAATGAGAAAAATGAGACGCAAAGCGAAGCAATAGAAAAATGTGAAGCATGACAAAAATGAGAAATAAAACAGCACAAAGAAACACAAACAAAATGTCACAAATGACACAACAGAAAAATAAGACATAAAATGACAAAGATGAGACATAAAAGAACATAAAATGACAAAAAAATGAAGCACAAAATGAGACAAAACAACACAAACAAGACAAAAATGACAAAACTTACAGAGAAACAACATGAATCAAATGCAAAATCACACAAAAGAGACACAAAATGAGAAAAATTAGACACAAAATGCGGCAAAACAACACAAACGAGACAAAAAAAAGAAACACACGGCAAAAACAAGACACAAAATGAGAAAACTGTTTGAAAAGAGAAACATAAATGAGACAAAATGACACCAAATAAAACAAAATGAGAAAAACGAGGCACAAAACGAGACACGATAGAAACAAAAAGGACACAAAAAAACGACAACCAAGGAGACAAAAGTGTCACAGAGACATAAAACAGCATAAACAAGACAAAAGAAAAATGAGGCATAAAATAACAAAGGAAACACAAAACAACAAACAAGGCACAAACCTACAGTTCCAGTTATTATTAATTAAAGTGGCAACACTCTATACAAATAGTGTGTAACATTAAAAAGTCACAGTAATAAACAGTAGAGGTCATATTCTACTGCACAACGCTGTGTGGTGTGATTTTATTTGATAAGTTATGTTTATTTACTGAGTTGATGATTTATATCAACACAGTTAAATGAGAAAGCGCTTTTATTTGAGTATTCACAGAAATAATGGGTGAGTTGAACTTCATTAGCCATGATGCTCCAGTTCAAGAAAGGGACAAATGTTTACTTTATTCTAGTAACAAGTGATACTCTGCCATGCGGTTATGTATGTGTTCACTAAAGTGGTTCATGAAACAGAAGTCCAGACTCTTGTGTTTTTGAACGTCACTGTGGAAGCCACAGTGATCATCCAGCCATGTATTATCTCTACATCTTAATCCTCACCAGGGTCTTGGGGGGCTGGAGTCTATCCCAGCTGACTCAGGGTGAAGGCAGGTTCACCTGGACAGGTAACCAGTCTATCACAGGGCTACACTTAGA